GTTATTTCATCCCAAAGAGATTCCAATTCATCAACGATTGGTGCTAGATAGTGATTAATTTTATGTAAACTGACTTCACTTGGCCTGGGTAAAAGACTGAGAGTCAGTAAATTTTTACATATCACGCGGCAAATTGCATATAGCAGCATATATTACTCTAATGTTATAAATAGTACCATCATATGACTGGAACCAGTCAATATTCAGCATTAATCCAAGGTGAGAATCGGCTACTTCATCTCAAAAAAATTTTGGTGAATCGTCTTCAGAAGATTACGTCTGCCATACTTGACCATTATATATGTCAGTTATAATGTTGTCAAAATGCTGACGATTCACCCAATGTCTCAAATTAATTTAAAATGAGGCCGACGATACATGAAAGCGAGTTGTTGTTATATTCCACAAAAAGGAAAGATTAAATTAGGTTGAATTACTATTCGATTTGTCAATACGACAATTTTTTGAGATAATGGTATATTGCAAAAGCACGATTTGTGAATTGACAAATTAGGAAATTCTACATGTCGACATTTCATTATAGTTAACATATTATCTTGTCTAAAATTTACCACTTCCTGTTTTTGGTACAGATTATGACATTTGGAACAAGGAACAAAATATTGAAATCTGTCTTTTATTCCAAGCGTCTTCTTTGTTAAGAACATTAAATTTGGAAAGTCTTTGAAATCGTTACCTCTGATTTCTGTCAAAACCAATTTTATAAACTTTATCAAAGCCTCAGTTGCAGACTCTATAATGTTGAATCTTGTCCAAAATGATATGATCCAAATTAATATCCATAAAAATCAGTCATCATCAATTGATTCTGTACTTGATGAATCTCGAAATGGCTCATAATTTGGTGATGCATAATCCTCAAATGTTTCAAAATCACCATTATCATCAGATTCACCATCATCAGATTCACTTGTAATTTCATCTTCTTCAGTAGTAAATTCAGAAGATTCTGAAGGTTGATTAGCTTCGATTTCAGAATCATCAGAAGAATTTATATCGGATTTGGGACGATTTGTATACTTTCTTACACATCTTTGAGGTAAGAAAGTAGAATCAAAATCCTCTTGATGTTTATCATCAGATTCATGTTCAATGTTCTGCCTAGCAGAAGTTGATGTTGATGGTTTTCCTTGTTTCTTCTTGAATTCCAAATTGATGAAATAGAACTTTGTGAATTTTGAAATCTACTTCTTGTATTATGAGATGTTAATGGTCTTGAAGTAGAGATAGATTCTTCATCAATTAAACTAGCAATCGATCTATTTCTTTTTCTATGAGAAGATGTATTAGAAGTTTGACTTGAAGACGATTCCTCATAATCATCATCAAGTATGCTAGAAATCGACCTTTTTCTACTTATTATTTGATTTTATATTTGAGA